GGAGGAGGTTTGGCATGTCACCTAGGATCCTTTGCAACTTCTACAGCTGCATCATTGAGAGCATCTTGACCAGCTGCATCACTGTCTGGTATGGCAGCACTACTGCTATGGACCGCAAGTGCCTGCAGAGAGTGGTAAAGACTGCGGAGATAATAACCAGGACTCTACTGCCCTCTCTGCAGAGTATGTACCACTGCAGGGTGCATCGGAAAGCTGGCTCCATCCTCAAAGATCCCACCCACCCCCAGCACGGACTGTTCACCTCCCTACCCTTTGGCCGCAGGTTTAGAAGTGTGAAATGCAGGACCTCTAGACTGAAAATCTCTTTCTTTCCCTCTGCCATCAGACTTCTAAACAGCTGACAGGAGTTTATTATCATGAAATACGTCATGTACTGACGTGTGTATTACAGTGTATTACATAGTGTTTGTCCATACAGACATCAGAGAGAGAGAGAGAGAGAGAGCGAGAGAGAGGCAGAGAAAGTGACAAAGGCCAGGCAGAGACAGGAGAGACAGATAAAAGGTTCATATAGTTCGTTTCATAGCACATGTGAATGTTTGTTTATAGAGTACACTTATGATGTACTATATATATTAATATATATATATATATATGTATTGTATATATATGTGTGTGTGTGTGTGTGTGTGTGTGTATGCATATCATAAAATGTATTGTTTTTGTTGATTTGTTCTCCGGTGTAGTAGGACTCCCTGCCAAACTTATTCCCCACCACTTTCCAAGTCAAACATACACCCTTGGCAGTCAACATGGTGAATATTGACCGATACCAATGTACAGCTGATAAATCAGTGCATCCCTATTTTTTTTATAAGTCAAGTTAATTCTCAACCACTCCTCCATTTTCATTTCACTGACTGGACCCAAGGTTTGCCAATACCTGACACCAGTTAAAGTTTAATGACATCAGAAGCTTAGTGTTGCCATTACATTTTTCACTATCACTTTGTGTGTTTAATGGGTGTGTTTAATAAAGACATGAAAGATTATGACTGTGTTTTATCATGTTAGAAATATTGTGTTTGTTGATATTTGTGACTTTGGTGAAGACCAGATCACATTTTATGACCAATTTATACCAGGAAATTGTACCTTGCATTGCATTGCCTTATAACAAAGAGTCATACACACTAAAACATCTATACTGGCTTTGGTTGATTAAATCCCAAAACACACCTTACTAGGCTCCAATTACTATATTCTATGTACAACACAAATGATAAAGTTGTGTCCTTCGGAGAACACAGGGCTGGTGGGTTGAGCCTGCATATCCTTCCAAAGAGAATTCAGGTCTTTAGAGAATTCATAGTAGTGTCATTCTGAGCTCCCACTTATAAAAACCAAACTGGCACACAAGGGTCATGGCCTGCTGAATAATGTCAGTGGTTTGCTCCATTTGGACCAACAGGACAGTTTTGATGACTGACTGTGCTGAGTCAGAGAATGCACTGCACAGTTTGTGTGTAAGGAATTGTATGTCACTCTTTCACATTACCACACAATAAAACACACTACTTGAGTGGCAAAATTTATCCGACTAAAATATCAAAGCTCTCCCCGTGCTTGCCTGGGTTCTCTCCGGGTACTCCGGCTTCCTCCCACAGTCCAAAGACATGCAGCATAGGTTGATTGGTGTCTCTAAATTGCCCGTAGGAGTGATTGTGTGTGTGAGTGGTTGTTTGTCTGCGTGTTAGCCCTACGATGGACTGGCGACCTGTCCAGGGTGTACCCCGCCTCTCGCCCACAGCTGGCTGGGATTGGCTCCAGCCCCCCATGACCCCGTTTGGGACTAAGCGGTTTAGAAAATGGATGGATGGAAAATATCAAAGCCAAATTTCTACTAAAATTACTTAAAAAAAAAATCTAATTAATTTTAGTCAGTTTTCAGGTACCACTGTTCACACATATATTGTAAGTGGGAATTATTTCCACCAAAGCATGTACTGTATTTATAGAAGCACAACCCAAACTCTCTTTCTCTTTCCGTTTGCTCTCTGTGAACTCTCTTTCTGTTTCCCAGCAGCAGTCTGTTAGCATCACACATGCATCTGATTTCAGTTGACCATCTCTGGGAGGCTTTTGGAAGTGTTCATATTTCTTGGAAAACAGTCTAACTGGTTTTCAGTGAAATGTCAGTATCACTGCAAATACTTCTTTGGCTGCTATGTTTCACAAGCAGACCCCATGTTGGTCAAGTTAACCTGCCTACAACAAATACATTGAATATAAAGTAATGCCACATTCTGTTTTATGACCATAAACTACATCTGTTAAAATCACTATGCATAGATTTTCAGAAAAGTTTATCTTCAATTAATTTTTCAGATTTTATTTTACACTTTTTAGTCTAATTAGTCTCTACCCTCATCTCATGCATCTCTCCCTCTCTCATGGCAGGAAGTTGAAAAAGCTGGCACGTGCAATAAAAAATAAAGGATTGGTTGAGAAGGAGAAAAAGGAGGAGAAACCTCCACAGCAGTGGAAACTGGACTACACTCTGGAGTCCTTTGATGGCCTCACACCTGAATACATGGAGATGAGTGAGTCTACATGAACAAAGAAAACATTTTTTGTATTTCCTGACTATTTGGAATTACACAGTAGTAAGATACCTTAGTAATTCTTCATTTGCCTAATTTCACAACAAATCACACAATGGTTATAACTTGAAGTCTGGAGGAATAAGCCACAAGTGGAAGAACTATGATCCCTTCTCCTGCCCCAATACACAAAATGGGATTCAGACAAGCTTTTGCAGATTTTTGCCTGTAGGAGCAAAGCGACAACTGCTCATGCAGCAGTTTGGGATCTGAAATGTCAAGTAATGTAAAGGTATTAAATGTTGTATGAGTCCAGGGAGAATGGTGGTGTAGTGGTTAGCAATGTCACAGGGCTGGAATGTTCGAAGTTTGTATATTTACTTTGTGTCAGTGTGGGGTTTTTGGGTACTCTGTCTTGAACTCCACAAGCAGGAAAACCTCTACTTTTTTTTACATTACGGCCATAGTAGGATCCATATAAATAAAATTTTTAAAAATATAGCTAACTGAACCTTAACTGGACCAGCGGTTTCTGCAGCTGGCAGCCTCAGCTACGTGCTACTATCTGTCTGTTTTTACAGTTTTTGGCACAAATGAAATATAGTGGGAAAAACTTTGTTAATCCAATAATATGCAGAGACTGGTAGACAAACAAAAAGAGGTAACATGAGATGTGAATAGGAATTCATGATGAGACAATTGGTTGTTATGTCTGAGGGTACTGACACACACACACACACACACACACACACACAGTTGTACTACAAACAATTGCAGTGACAATTAGACAACACTCAGAGAATGCAACATCTGCCAAGGGGCAAGTCAGTTTCCCTATAATGCCATAAAAGCAATATTCCCATGACAGTTTGACCCTCAAGTCACTACTTAACCATGAAAACCTATTGTTGACATTTGGAATGACAGTGATAACATTAGTTTGAAAATTATGCAAGAAAAATGACATTCACTTGTTGGTTTTGGGGTGACATGGGGACTTCAGTGAGTGGAATGTGGGCAAAGCAGTGAAGATCCAACAGCTGTTAATAAACTACTCATACAGTCTCTGTTCTTGGCTGATTGTTGCACTATGGAGTAATACTCCACATTCTGTGCTCTCCCTCTGCCCACTGTGAATGGGTCTCCTCTAGACTGGTACGGAAAAATACAGTGGTGAAGCAAAGTAGGACAGTTCATGTGACCCTAGTTATTGCAGGTGATGGTAAGAAGCATGAAATATACCACTCGTGATTTTTGACAGCAAATGGAGAACTGTGTGGGTGAGAACCACCCTAACTGGCCCCAGGAAAAGTTCTCCCACAGTAGTGTTTTGTGAATTGGTTGGACTGCTGGGCGCCTAGGGGGGAAGCTGTGTCTCTACCCTGAGTGTGCATTTTCTTACATTTTAATCAGATGTGGTGTCACCTGTGTCAGTTATTAGACATACCTGGTGCTCCTATACCAATTTGACCCTTGAATATGTGACTGGCCTATGGCCACATGACCTTGTACCTAAACCACTTGTGTTTTTTGCTGGCCGATATGTTATATATGTGGTTGTTTGTATTTAAAGGTTTAGTTTTAACATTTGCATTATTTATAGGATTCTTTGTTGTGTGCTTTTAACAGATCCTGAGGAAGTTTTAATTCCAAAATGTGTTGGTCTTTTTATTAGAGTTGCTCAAAACACTCCAAGCGTTGCTGGACCTTTTGCTGTCCTATCCAAAGTTATAAGATGATATGAGATGTGTAACTAGTTACCAGTGTTTAACAACTAAGCTACATTGAGTTAACTATTAGATTAAAGCTATATTTTGGATCAGTTGAGATAACAAAGAAATACTAAAATACTGTTTAACATTATGAGATGTGTAGCAGACATGTAGAGATGTACCGCTGTTGGAATGGAATATTAACAGTTATGCTTGGCTGCTGCTAATACAGCAAGGCAAGCTCTTGGTTCTCTGGTAACTTCACCAAATTACGTTTCAGATCATCAGAGAAAATAAGGAGAGAATGGAATTAAGAACGTGAAGCTGTCATCACACTATGTTGAATTTTGGGTAAACATGCCATTTTGGAATCTCACTTTCATTATCCATTATAGATATATACACTACATTTATAAGTTAATTAAAAAATAAATACTATCCCATACAGCTACATACAGTAGCGGACGCTTGAACTACATTCAAACATCCACTATAGTGTTTCGTCTGAGCAAACACAGCACAGAAATTGATTGATCTGCAGTGTTTGTGCTATCTGCTGACAGCTGCTATCATTAGCTTCCAAACTGAGAGCTGAGATCAGGGTGCAGAGTTATTTTTCTCTGTCGCTCTCATCGACGGGATCTCTAAGTCAACTATGAGTTAGCTACAGACAGAAAAGGTAATCCATTCTGAATAACCAGTCAGTAAAGTGAGATCTAAACAAATTAAGCGACTTTTTAGCCAAACAAAACAAGAATATATTCAGCTAAATACAGTGTTTATATACCAAAATAGTGCCCCCATCCCAACTTTCAACACAGCATGATGTACCTTCACATTCTCTATACTGTCAAACTCACAGCCAAACTGTAAATGCATTTGCACATTCAACATATCTCTTTTATAGTATTGCTATATAATGCGTGAATGAGGCTCAAACATGAGCTGCTAAAAATCAGTTTTCACTCCTGCCCTATGCGGGGGGGGTCGGGGGTCTGTAGGGACATTTGCATATATTTGAATATTTATAGATCTGGGAATGCACAATGAGGGCAAATATTGAGGCATATTACAAAGGTTCAATGAACTTTTTTTGAGGCAAAACTGTTACATTATATATTGTTAATAGCAAACTATGATTATAGTCAAACATAAATATTAAAATGCCTCTGGAGTGGAACTTTAACCTGCTTTCTTGAATACCCCCCAGACTGTAGCATGTCAGCTAGCTTTAGCAAAATGAACACCATGAACAGATTAGTTTTACATTGACATGAGTGAATAGTAAATACCACAAATGGCTAAATAAATGTGATCACCAGCACATCCATGCACATTGGCCATAAGGGGGCTGATATACATTCAACCTTTGGAGCACTCACAATGGCAAGTAATATTTTAGAAATCCAAATTATGCTATGGGTCAGCACCAAAATCCAATCAATTGTTCTGTGGGTCATACCCTACCCCTCCAAAAATGTCATTAAAATGTGTACTTTTTGAGTTATGTTTTTAACAAACAAATAAGCACACAAACTAACAAACACCTGCAAAATCATAACCCCCCACCTTGGTGGAGGTAACAGTCAAATACTGAGTCAGTCATAAATTTACTTGAAGAAAAATAAAAGCCTGGAGGAATAAACACTAGAGAAAGATTTAGCTGTTACATTTAAATTTATATGTTTTGGTTAAAGCAGATTTGTCATATAAATATTTGTTGTGCTCTGTTCTATCACAGACTACCAAGAAATGTTTTTATTATTCTGCTTGGAAAAATAAAATGTGTCTGATATGGAATGTTTCACCTGTGAACTCTGCACACACATCATTCTGCACAGTAAAGGTCAAACATTCAGATGATGTAACCTTAAGCAAAACATATCTTTGAATGGAAGGGAACTTTAAATTTTCTGCTTAGGGGCTAAAATCAGGAACCACAGTCTCCTCTGAGTGCAGCATGAGTTTTGAGTTAGTTCCATTATTGAATGTGAAAAAGCTGACAACTTACTGCATATCAAGAATCAGAAAAATGGGATTTTTTGCAAACTATATATACATCTTCAGTTCTAAAAGAAAAATTAGATTGAGGGAATTGAGCATATGTAGTACTGTAGTAACAGACACAAGAATTACAATTCTTTCCAAACATCTACAAATTTGAGACATATTTACAACAATGGAATGATATTTACATGTTGCTACAGCACCTGTATCTGTTGGTGGAACCAAAACCTACAGTATAATACCATCTTCCAGAGCTGAATCTGTAGAGGAGTTTCTGTGATCATATTGTGCTATGACAGTGAGGAGACGTTATATGATATGGACTGAGTTAGAACAGAGGGAGATGTTCCTTTAGGGCACAGCAAGGAAACTCGCTGGAAACCCATATTCCCACACTGCTCAGTCCACTGCTCTGATTAGAGACAGGCATTCTTTCTGATGTTTCTTTTTTATATTTTTAAGAAGCAGGTCAATGTTGCTTTGATTTATTGATTAACCCAGCAGGTTTTTCCATGATGATGCTCCTATTTGTAGACCCTTCCTGTTGGCCCGGACTTAGCTGTGTTTAATTTTCACTTCACTCTTTTATCTTTAAAGTCACCTTGAAAGTCACATTTCTCCAACTCTCCTGCCAGCAGTCCCATAGTTTTATTGCAAAATCCACTTTATGTTTGTGATTATGATGCACTGTAGTGTATGATAAATTTCCCTCAGCCTTTATTTTAATTATTATTTGTATATGTTGTGTTTCTGGCTTATTTAATCAGACTGCATAACACACACAGACAAGCAACATACAGTACATACGCACACAACGTTCTCCACACTACTTAATCATTAAAAACTCCCAGTTTAGCTGGAACAGTGGAGTGTTTAACCTTAAAAGGCATCATCTGAACTACAGAGGGAGTCTGGAGAGACAGTGTGGCTGACCAGACAAATTCACAAATAATGACATCTTAGTGGCAGTTTGAATTGTAATAAATGAATATATAGTATTATACTGTATAATATAACACCATGCCCCCACCAATTTTTTTAATTATACAATCTTTGTTTATAGTAGACCTATTATACATAATCATTCATACCAAATTTCTGAATTGCTTTAGAAGGATATTTGCATATTTAAAAGACCTTACTGCAGCTCTTTATTAATTGTTTATCTCTCTCCTCCAGTCATCCAGTTTGGTTTCGTCTCTCTGTTTGTGGCTTCATTCCCACTTGCTCCTCTCTTCGCCCTGCTCAACAACGTCATCGAGATCAGACTGGATGCCAAGAAGTTTGTTACAGAGTTACGCAGGCCAGTAGCTGTACGGGCTAAAGATATTGGTAAGCTGATCTGACACAATAAACACAATACATCAGAAAAGATACACTACAGTACATCTTGAAACCTGATCATTTTCACACAAACAAATTCCTCAGAAAGATAAGTGATAGATTTTACTTATATTTAGGGTGGCACACCTTATGAATCACCATTTATGGGACACCAACATTCTCCACTTAAACCAGACTGATTAAATCCTTTCAGGGTTAGCAGTGAGGCAGGTTACAACACTGGGTTTACAAACCTGGCAATTCAGGTAAGTTGCTGCTGTGGGCTGAAACAGTAGTCTATCTTAATAAAGAAATACTGTATAAGAGATACAATAGGTACAAATAAAGAAAATGAAAATTATATAGTTATAAAAAAGTAATTTATGTCTTGCAATCCAATGAACTATCTATAATGGTTAATGGTTTTTAAGTCTAAATTAAAGGCACATTTATTCAAACGGGCTTTTGGCATCTAATATTTAGCAGCGATGCTATACAGGGCCTACAGGCCTTCCTTATTTTATATTTTGTAATCTTACTCTCTCTGTATTTTGACTCATTTTTATTCTACAATAATGTTATAGTTCTTATAGATCATTGTTTTTAATTTGTGCAATGTTAAATTTTCTATTTCTAATTATGTATTTTGGCATGCTCTGTTTTATCTCTGTTTTATTGTGAAGCACTTTGAGTTCCTTTCTGTGTTGTAAAGCGCTATATAAACAAATAAATTGTTATTATAATGAACAGAAACACTGTAGATTGACAACATGGGAACAGTTATGTACTCACTCTTGCTCTTCTTTCTCTAGGTATATGGTACAACATACTGAGTGGATTGGGAAAATTTGCTGTGATTATAAATGTAAGTATTACTGTAATGTCCCACATTTCCCCATCTACTGATTAAAAATGAGTGATGAAGGCAGGTATATGCACACTAAATGCATGAACATGAGTATTCTATAGTATGGATTACTATAGAACACAGCAGGAAAAAGGAGTCAGGGAGCGGCGTGTGCAGCTTCTGTTAATGTAGAGGTGTGAACCCAATTAAAAGGCCAGTACTTGGAGACAACAGAATGAAGCTTGATCGTCTGTGTGGGAGAGCTCAGGTGAAGGAGAAACAGTCAAACAAGCAGAGAGGGCAAGGCAGAATCTTTGGTTGGTTTTTCAGGCAGGGTGTCGATAACAGGCGTAGCAGTCCAATAGTAAGGATGAGGCAGGGTCTCCGGTCGATGGTTCAGGCAGGGTGTCGATAACAGGCATAGCAATCCAACAATAGGGGCAAGGCAAAAATTGTTAGTCAGTTAAATGTATTACTCAACTATTTCTAAACTATACTGTTTACCTGAACTGTGCTGTTTATCATCTGAAAGTAAAGTTCTGCACCTTTTTCACTAAAAAAGGCTCAAACTTCTTGTGCCATGGTGGGTTTTTTTGTAATCAATTCTCATGAGAAAAATGTTTCACTCTCTCACTCTGTCATCTCTTTCTCTCTGGAGGCCTTTGTGATTGCCTTCACATCAGACTTCATCCCTCGGCTCGTCTACCAGTACGTGTACAGCCCGACTGGCACCATGCAAGGCTTCACTGATTCCACACTCTCTTATTTCAACGTTTCTGATCTTAAAGCTGGCACAGTACCACAGAACTCTGCACTTGGAGAGGTCACCATCTGCCGGTAAAAGACACACACATGCACTTAAAGGTTATAGATATTGGAGGGAATTCATATGAAAGCCATGGCAGCATACAGATAATTTGAATATCTATCTTTGTGACCGGTTAAATACAAAGGACAAATTGATTTTTTCTTCTACTGCCAGTGGAGTAGAAAAACGACAGCCGTATTCATACTCTTTTACACCAGAAAAATTTAGTTTGGGGGATTTTGTCAAAGTGGACGAAACAGCAGTTTTCTGTCTTGTCAGATTATAATTTTGACTTTAATAATACATAAACTCCCCTTCAGTCTCTGTACAAAAATAAATACCTACCATTATCATTCTTGTTTCATGGATAGTATCCATTTAATTAGAAGTATGCCTCAGTTTTTTTTTTCCTTTGGTTCATGTGGCTGACGTCCATCTCCAACTGAATTTACTTTTCTTTTAGCAAACATTACATTCAGAAACCTTTTGGAAGCACCCTGAATAACAGTTGCACTTACTTACACTTATGAGTATGCTGTGTATGTTTTTTACTTTTTCTGTTTTGTGCCAAAAAAGCAATCCAGGAGAATCTGATTTTGTGATTGTGGAGTAACTACACTGCTCAAACCAATTAAAGGAACTCTAAATCACACATCTGATCTTGATAAATGAATTATTCAAGTTGAAAACATTTACTAATGTACACTGGATAATTTGTTTATAACAAAATGACAATGGTCAATGGAAACCAAAAGCATCAACCCATGGAGGGCTGTATTCAAAATCACACTGAAAATTGAAATAACAGGCTCATCCAATTTGTGTGACTTTCATCACAGCAACTCATAATGTGACTCAGAAGTGTCTGTGGGCCCCATGTGCTCGTATACACTCCTGATGATGTCTGGGCCTGCTCCCGATAAGTCGGCAGATGGTTTCCCGAGGGATCTCCTCTCAGACCTGGATCAGGGCATCAGTGAGCTCCTGGTCAATCAGTGGTGGTACTTGGTGGCATCAGATGCACCAATTCATAATGTCCGATAGGTGCTTAATTGGATTTAGGTCAGGGGAATGTGAGGGCCAGTCAATAGCATCAGTGCTTTCGTCATCTAGGGAATGCCTACACACTTTGGCCACATGAGGCCAGGCATTGTCCTTCACCAGCATAAGGTCTGACAATCACTCTGAAGATTTCATCCCGGTACTTCAAAGCGGTCAGGATACCGTTGGCTATGACATGGAAGTCTGTGCAGCCTTCCAAGGATATGCCTACCCAGACCATCTTTTCCAAGTATATGCCTCCCCAGACCATCTTTGACCCACCCCCAAACTGGTCATGCTTGATGATATTACAGGCAGCATAATGTTCACCATGTCATCTCCAAAGTCTTTCACGCCTGTCATGTGCTCAGTGTGAACCTGCTCTCATGTGTGAAGAAAACAGGGCACCAATGGCAGACCTGCTAATTCTGGTGTATTCTGGTGTTCTATGGCACATGCTATTTGAGCTGCACAGTGCTGAGCTATGAGTACAGGTTGTACTAGAGGATGTCAGGCCCTCATGCCACCCTCATGGAGTCTGTTTCTGACAGTTTGGTCAGAAACACACACACCAGTAGCCTGCTGGAGGTCATTTTGCACAAAAGATACTGGTCCTGCTGCTGGATTGTTTCCCTTCTACAGCTCCGTCCTGCTCTCCTGGTGTAATGGGCAGGTTCCTGCTAATTCCTCCATGCTCTTGAAACGTGCTGGGAGATAGCAAACCTTCTTGTTACTTCATGTATGGATGTGCCATCTTGGAGTAACTGCAACTGACTGCACTGCAGGTACTACCTCATACTACCAGTAGTGACAAGGACACTAGCAAAACACATAACTTAAGAAGAAGCATCAGGAAGTATAAGAAGGGAGTATTTGTCTGTGACCACCACATGCAAAACCATTCCCTTTTTGGGTGTGGTCTTGCCTTTGCTTCTCCATTGCACCTGTTGTCACTTTCATTTACAACAAGGCAGGTGAAACTGATTCACAGTCATGTGTGCTTTCTAAATTGAGAGATTGACATTCCTGGTGTTTAACTGACTTCATTATACTGTGATGATTAAGTGTTCCCTTAATTTTTTGAGTAGTTTAATAAATATGCAAAATTAAAGACTGGGTTTGTAGCCTGACATGGAGAATAGTAAACAGACTTCCTTGGTAGACATGGATAACAGTACATTTAGTTGGACAAACCTGTATTGTCATGAAAATAAATAAACAAGTGGCCCTATATACTGTGGATTATGAGACCTGTTAGGCTATTTCTTGCAGCTGTTAAAGCAGAATAAATTTGAATAGAATATAGAATAAATTTGAACTTTAATAAAACAATTAAGCTTTTGCTTATATTGTCATTTAATAGTTTTTTTACTGGCATTATTTATATGCAATTAACAAACGAAGACACAATATGGACCTAAATCTCTAATGTCAAAGCAAGCTGTATATTGAACTGATTCGTCTGCATTGACAGGAAGCCACTCTCGACCCTCTCCCATTTTGCAAAGCATCTTGGCTCAGTGCAGCCTCCAACCGTAGCCTCAGGCAAGACATAAGCCCATGGGTCAGCCTGTGAATTGCCCTGTGTCCTAACAATAGTAATGTTTCTTGGATATTTTGTGATGGTTCTGTAAAATATGATGATATGCTGGTCTGAACCATTTTCTTTTTTTTTTCCTTTGGGATAGTTTGCTGTAGTTTTACCACTGAAATAGACTGTGCTTGGTGTAACAGATCTGTCTCAATTTAGTAAATAAAACAATTACCTCAGAGCACCAGAGCCCATAATGATGGACCAATCAGAATTAAAATACTTATTATGAAAGGCCACACAGAATATGTAACTCTCATCAGAATCAGAATCTGCATTATTGGCCAGGTGTGTCGGACACACGAGGAATTTGACTCTGGTAATGCGGCTCTCAATGCCAAGGGCACTGACACGACCTCATATCATGACAGACCATGATTTTGGACCCAGTGCTGGTAATAGTCTGGATGGTCCTTTTCATCCATTCTTTCCAAAAAAAAAAAAAAACAGAAATACTGATTTGTCTGACCATAATACGCATTTCTACTGTGTAATGGTCCATCCCAGATGCCTCAGAGACCCGAACAGTCGACTACACTTCTGGATGCTGTTGCCATAGGGCACAGTACAGCTTTAGGTAGCATTTATGGACAGGTGTGCCAAAGTAATCCTGAGCCCATGTGGTTATATTCAATATTCAAGATTTTTATTTGCCATTTATGCATAAACAGACAATCTAGCCATATATAAATTCATGTGCAGCTCTCCTTTGGAGTCAGGTAAGGAGTCTAAAGCCAGAAAGAACACTTAGTCTTAAAATAAAAAGTTACATAAGGGCGACAAAGCATTAAAACACAATACACAAAAATAGGGTAATAGTATTTCCCACAGTGAACTTCAAACATTGCACTTAGTAATTCACATGGTGAAGTTGGATATAGCATTACGCTTGGTGAGGTAGTGAGGGGTTATTGCATATGTCTAGTAAGTTATTGCACATACTGTATATTCTTACAGTTCTCACATTTTCGTATTTGCCATCAGTTTTACTGTGGCAGGGAAAGGCTGCTGTAAAGTATTGTTCTGTGTGTGATGCCCTGCTGTGCCTGAGGCTGTAGGTGCAGTTTTTGTGTTTGAGAAGAGTGGGCTGGGTGGCATGGATCCCTGATTATGTTCTCTGCCCTTTTACAATAGCGCTGTGTGTATAGTGTGTCCATAGCAGGCAGTTCAGTCCCAGTGATCTTCTCTGCAGTCTTTGACCTTTTGATGAGCCTTCCTCTCTGCCTGTGTGGTGTTACCATACCAGCCTGTGATGCCAGTAGTGAGGATGCTTTCTACTAGTCCTCTATAAGCTTGGGTGAGAGTGCAACAGTTCGACCCAGATTTTCTGTGCCGCCTGATGAAGTATAGCCACTGCTGGGCTTTCTTCACTGTGGCAGCTGTGTTCAGTGACCAGCTGACTCACCTGCAGGCCCAGGAACTTGTGGCTGTCAGCCCTCTCCACCTCAGTCCCTTTGATGGTCAGAGGCCACAGAGGGGAAGGGTTCTTCCCGAAGTCTACTGTTATTTCTTTTGTCTTATTTATGTTGAGGATGAGGTCATTCTCCTCTCCATAAACAAGAATGTCATTCACCAAGCTTCTGTAACCCGACTTGTCTCCCCCCTTGATGAGGCCCAGAATGGTGGTGTCATCAGCATATTTAATGATGATGGTGTTGCCATGGTTGGAGACACAGTTGTGGGTGTAGCGGGTGACGAGTATGGGGCTGAGATAGCAACCCTGCGGTGAGCCTGTGCTAATTGTGAGCTCAGCAGACACCCTCCTCCCATTCTGACTACCTGCGGTCTTCCAGTCAGGAAGTCCAGAATCCAGTTGCAGGTGGGAGTTGGGACACCGAAGTCTGTCATCTTCCCAATCAGCCTGCCCGGGCAAATGGTGTTGAATGCAGAACTGTAATCCAGGAAGAGTATCCTAGCATATGTACTGCTGTTGTCCAGGTGTTTCAGGGTGTGGAGTAAAGCCAGAGCCGTCGCATCATCCACTGATCTGTTGGGGCGGTAGGCATACTGGAGAGTGTCTACAGTGTCAGGGACCATGTGGTTAATGTGTGTGAGGACCAGTTTCTCTAAGCACTTCATGGCGACTGATGTGAGCGCCGCTGACCTGAAGTCGTTCGGCGTGGATGTGTCTGACATCTTAGGGACCAGTATAATAATGGATTTTTTGAAAATGTGAGGAACTACTGCTTGGGTTAAAGACAAGTTGAAGATGTCTGTATACTCAGTAGCTAGTTGATCCCCACAGGCTCTCAACACTAGGGTGGACACCATCTGGTCCCGCCGCCTTATGGGGGTTTACCTGTTTCAGGGCCTTCAGGACCTGTGTGTGCATCACCTGAAAAACAGTGTCCCCTGGGTCGCAGGGGGATTTTTGAGGGGGTGTCTGTGTTCATCCTG